TAATGATATGTAGCTCACTAGCATCACCTGAAAAGTTAAATTAAGAATGCGAAAATATTAGGACAACATAAAATAAAGCACAAATCAGGGTAAAAAGATTTTATCATTCCGCACCAAGTGTTCTCTGGTCATTTTCAGCATCAGCAAACAGATCTCTTACATTCTTTTCTGTCTCGCCGACGAACTTGCTTAGCACTTCAGGACCATTAACGATCTATTATGTCAAGAGAAGAAAAACTAAAGGCATTACATATTAATACAATCCATAGATTTCATACATTTAAGGAAAAAATGAGTGACATCTTAGATGACCAACTAATTAGAAGACAGAATGAAATTAATTAGGGGGTATAGAGGCGTTATTAACTAAACCTTTGGCTCCTTTCCATTAAGCATTTTGCCAATTTGGCGTGCCATCAAGGTCTTGCCAGTACCGGGAGGTCCAAACAGAAGCATCCCTTTAACGTGCTTTGCCCCAATTCTGCAAGATCAAAAGAATAAACTTACAAGGAAATAAAGAATACATAGAAAAGCAAGAAATGGCATTTTGAAACAGTTGAGGTCTGAACCAGAACCTGTTCACGACATCGCGAGGAAGTATACGAGAAGTAAAAGCTCTTCGAAATATAGCAACAAACTCTGCACCTAAACCACCTATACCTAGGGATTGAAGGTTAAACTCCTTTTCTTTAAATATCTTGCTTGTAACAGATTCTCGTTGGTTGATAATCTGTATATACAAAGTTACAAAACTCAACTTTAAAACAATGAAATCGGAATTAGCAAGTAACATCAGAACATACATTTTTTTATTTTGTATATGCTATCAGATTGTCAGTTGATTGGTATTAACATAACTAACAAACTAAATAACACAGAATACTATAAGATAATTAATCAAAACCAAACCTTTATGCCACTTGCATTTGATGCTTCAAACACAAAATATGTATCCTTACAAATCATCCCTCTTTCGATACAATTAGTTTGGTTCTCATCATCAGCCACTATAACCGCTCGATTGACCGTAAAAATGTAGTTAGTTCCATGATACTCAAATGTAACTCTTTGACCTACTGTCAAGACCTGCATAGATATATACGCATAAATTGTGTCATCGCATGGTCTAGAAATAATAAAGCACACAAAATAATAAGTTGCAAAACATTCATCAAATACAACTCATTGAGAACCAATCAGTGCATGATGGCAAAGACAAGAATCTTCAACTATGATCCACAACTATCACACTAATAATCCAAGAATCTACCTGGTTAGTGAATTTCTTCTTCAGTTGAGTTGAGAGGAGAGTAGCATCAATCTGTTCATTTTTAGTCCCTTTTTTGACAAATTCTAAGTCAACTGTCAGAACAGTCAAGTCAAAGCTTTCAGGAGGAATAAATCTGCAAGAAGAAATCAGTCTTCAGACCGAGCAAAGAAACATAAAAAAACACGAGGTAATTAACAAACAAGCATTTGTGGCATTTTACCTTGTTACAGAAACAATGTCACCAGCAGAAACTCTAGCATGTCGTCGTTGAATCGAATTCAGAGCAATACTTCCATCAGAAATACTCTCATGTCCAGTATATACCAGTTAAGATTTACATATAAATAAAAACTAAGATTCCATGTGTTTAACACAATAATGTGAAGAATCGAATTATAAGGTAATCAGTATTAAAAAAAAAATTGTCAAAAAGATCTAAAGGATATGAGATTGATAATACAAAGACTTCTCCGACGTTAGCTAGGAAGAGATCGGGCGTTCCGGGAACAGCGAAGCAACGGAGATCAGACGGAGAACAATATGCGAGATTTGTGAGAGCTAAATCTGACGCCGGCGTGGTGGTCACCGTCATCGTCATGACGCAGGATTCGGTAGGATCGGCCATGATTTTTTTTTTTTTGGTTTCCTTCGTTAAGAAGAAATTGAAACTTGAAGGGTTCCGTTACAAAAAGTTTTGGTTGATCTGTGAGAGTAACCTAGGACTGTGTTTTATGCTAAGATATTTTTTCCCGACAGTTGAATAAAAGGAAACAAGTCAGCCGACCAATAATATTCCGACACGTAGTCAGATTTTGACAAGTAAAATCCATAAATTACCATAGAAATTAAAAAATAGCTTTATTAATTAGTTTTAGAGCGGACAAGAATTTTTGTAAAGTCATTCTAGTAAGGAAAATATTATATTAACCAAAAAATATACAAAACATATCTTATTAGAAAACAGGATATGTTTTAACTTTAAAAGGTAGCACATGTCTAATTATAATTAATCGCAAATCAATCAATTTATAGTAGTAATAATAATAATTCAAAAAGCCCAAAAGGAAAATGAAAAATATATTTACAAATCCAAAAAGAATTTTTAAGTTAAAGAAACTTAAATTTATATTACAATACAAAAAAATATTTTTATGAATTTTCATCATATATAAAAAAAAAACACCACAAAACTACACTAATTGGAAAACATATACTCCCTCTGTTTTTTAAAAATTGTCGTTTTAACTGTATTTGGACAAATTAAGAAAAGGTATACAATGACTATATTAACCTCATAAAAATGACAAGTAATTATTTACAAATAATTTGTGTTCAATAAAATGAGGGTAATTTGGGTAGTTATTGGCATAAATTACATTATTATCTTAAAACGACAACTAATTTAAAACAAAAAAAAACTCTAAAACGACAACTATTCGAAAACGGAGGGAGTATATGTTTTAACCTCTTTTCCTGAGAAGTTTGTCTAAGGGTTTAGTTCGACTGGTCAAATGGGGATGTTGGAGTTAGAGTTAGGATTTAAGAACATGAACTTGAGCTCTTTGTGATGTTCTATTTCATTAATATGCCTTAGGGACCAAAAAAATCATAAGGACATATCCACGGGACGAGTCCCACTAATATTCTCTCCATTACAAACTGTCAAGAAACTGGATTATAGACCAATTTTGCTATAGTAGTTGGCTAGCTTAAATCGATGTAAATTTCTAAACTCACTTATCAACCTTGTCTATTTTTTCCATCACTACTCAAAATCGTATCATACATGGTTCAATTACAGAATTAGTGTGTACTACATTTGGTTGAAAGAGCTATTCCTAAATAAATTTTATACAATAAATTCACATTTATTATATATAGCTAAATAAACATAATTCAAATTTAAAATTCACATTTATTTATCTAAAAACTTCACCATTAATTAAATAATTCATAAACGAAAAAAATCAAACAAAGAATAAGCAATACATCATAATATAAATAATTAAACACTAGAAATGGGTTCACTCTTTGTTTGTGTTGGGCATTTGCAGAATCTAACACATACAGCTACTAACATGAAGATGAGCAAGATAGCGCCGGCAAGTTCAATGGGGTTCATATATAATGTTTTTCTTTGTGTACGCATATTATACTTATATATATATACTGCATGGACTGTCAACACAAAAGTTTACATTTTTGTAAATTAATCGATGGAATTTGTAATGTTTACATTTTGTTAACTAGGAAGGTTGACAAAAAAAAAAAAAAAAAAAAAAAAAAAAAACTAGGAAAAACTGGAAATTTTACATTTAGTCATTAAGGAGTATTAATTAGGTTAAAATATTAATCATTAATTTGATTCGTCATGCATGTAGTTTTAGTGATTTAAACCTACTAAAATATTGATATCTAGTGTAACGATTTAAACCTAGTTAAGATAATATAAATTGAAACAATGTGAAATCAAATGGTTGACTGATTATATGTATATGTAATAATGAAAGCTTTGCCTACCAACTTAAGCATAAAGATTTAGAGTTGTTTGAGAAATATATCAAACTTTACCCAAATCATATATATAAAAGTTGGCCAACTCTCTCCATATGAGTGCCACATCATCACACAAAAATATGACATGTATCATTTAACATTATTTAAATTAAAAAAATCACCAAAATTAATTGAGGGAAAATCAAAAGTCTTCTATTGTGTTAAATCCTCCATTAATCCTATTTCTAAATGATTTTTCAAAACAAAAATAAAATTATAAATTATTTTAATAAATCAAACAAATTCATTTCTCTTATATGGCTATATGCAATAGCATAAAATCTAAAAGTGTTATTTAAATAATTATTTAATTTTTGCTTTTTTTTTTCTTTCTTTCATACGAAAACTCTTGAGATCGAAATATCTTATATTCTTGTTGTGTGTATTCATGATAGTGAACGAATATTAGAATCTTAGATATAAAAAAAAATCAAATTATACATGAAAATGTATAAATTAATATTTAGAGTCAAAAACGAATCTAACCATAAAAATTGTAAGTACATAAGATGAGTCTAATTTTATTAACTATACAATAACAAAAATTAAATAAACATAAATTAGCGACAAAAACAATTAACATATTTATCTTAACAATTTTCAAAACAAACTCACGCGTAGCGTGAGAATTCATCTAGTTAAATTGAAATTTTCCAGACGTATATATTGAAATGAAACCTACAGCCTAAGAGGATATAAGGGATTTTGCTGGAAGAATATATTTTGAAATTAAATTGGTAATTTACGATGGACTATATTTTAATTTTCTAAATCTGGAAAATAGATAAACTTTTATTGAAACTTTTATTTTATTGATTGTAAAAATGCAACTTTAATTTGTTACGTTGATGTTTCACAAAGTGCTCATCATATGCATAAGGTTACAATTTGGAAGTTGTCATGTGGTTTTTTCTTTTCCTCTAAGCATCTCCTACCCCAAGAAAATCAATGTACTTCAGGGGGACATTAGTCTTAAAATAACTAGCTTCCGTTGTATCTTTTGCTTCTGATGGTAATGATGATGATGATGGTTGAGAGATGGAAACATGATGGGTGAGTTGATGATGACGAGCTGAGTATTCCATTGCTTCCTTATACTTAGCTTTGAGGTTATTGGTTTCGTCTTTTGCTTGTTTCATCAACGTTTTTCTCATTAGTTGGTGCCAATGATTTTTCACGGCATTGGCAGTTCTTCTATGGAGAAGCTTAGCAATCTTAGACCACTTGTTCCCCAATTCTCTTTGAGCTGAAAGTATCTTTGCCTCTTCTTCATCATTGAAAGCTGTCTTGTTGATCCTTGGATCAAGCTGATTAATCCATCTGAATCTGCAACTCTTACCTTCCAATACACAATAAGAAGAATATGATTTAACTTTCGAATAAAACAAGAGTGAGTACCAAAAATGAAAGCACATTTTTTACCTGTTTTTACTTGCATTTTCTCTGCAATATGCTTCCATCTTCTAGGACCATAAGTAGCCACAAGCCTTGTAAGTTTCAAATCCTCTGAAGGTGTCCAATACTTCTTCTTGTACCTCTCATGATGCATACCTCTCACTAATGCATTTTTTTCTCCAAAATCATTAGATGAAGGTCTCTGCAGTGCAACGTCAAAATGGTATTTTGGGACACATGAGTCTAAAAATGTGTGATATTTGGATGATAACTCTATTCATATATAGTATAAAAATGCTGATTTCTCTGAGGAGAGAAAAGAATCTAAGAGGGACTGGAAAGAGAAAAAAATACTAGGGTATTTAAAAATGAATATGATAAAAATGTTCCAAAATATTTATAAGAAATAAGTTTAAAAATATTATATGAATATTTAGTATTATTTTATTCATATTTTTTAATTTAATGTTATTATTTGTAGCTATTTTTCCATGGACCCGTACATAATCCTGATATCACGATTAAAGGCATCTATACATGAGTAATAATTTCTTGGATCTGAATCAAAATATCCTAAAACTTTCAGGTTTCCAATCTGCTTATGCCCCAAGTTATAGAGTTAAAATGCAATATAAAATATTAAGTGTATCAGGAAAGTAAACTATATTTTAAAATATTATAATGTTTTTATAAGGACTATGATAAATATGTTCTAAAATATATTTATTAAAATTCATTTGAAAATAAGAATATTTTTGTGATTTAATGTTATTATTTTTAGCTATTTTCATAGATCCGTACATGATCTATATACTTGTGAGTATATTAGAGATCCATATATGGATAATGTTTTTTTTTAAAACAAAACATCAAAAAAGAGTATATGTAATATAAATTAATAAATATAACTATTAACTATTTTTTGTAATATTTATTAATCTGCTAATAGAAAATTGTAGAAGAAGAAAAATATTGATGATTAAGTATTTAATAACATGATTACCGGTCAAATTATTAGAAAGATATGATTCATTCATTTATACCTTGAATGCTAGCAAAGTAGACTCCATTGGAGCGACACTTGAATCCCGGTATGATCAAGTTAACTAAAAATGCGGCGCCGCCAAACTGTGAACTAACAGATGAAAAACGACTAACATATATAGTATATCTTGTTCTTAGTTCTCTACCTTATGGAGGAAATGTTTTTATTTAGTCATCTACCATATACTAGTGATAAATGCTTTAATAGTTTTGACTACATTGTTAGGTATCTATATTAACTCTCTAAAATAATATTTAAGTGATGAACTTTCAACATTATTTTGGACTCATTTTTTTTGGTAGTTTTGTAAAGACAGGTTGTTGAAAATTGAACTGAAAAAATATTTGTTTGACTATAGTTTCAGTTTTAGTTATATTATTTAATTCTAAGTTGTTTTCAGGTTTGGAAGAAAATTATACAGTTTATTATAAGACTAACAATTAAAAATAATGTTCTTAATATTTTTTAGATCATAAAAATGTTAGATTTAATTAAAATTATATCTATATATTACAAGTCTATTTGTACATACAAAACACATAATTTCCAAAAAAATTATAACTTTATTTTCTAATTTGTGAATTTGTTCAAGAGAGAATTTCATTGTTAAGAAAAAAGTCAATCGTCATTTGTATCAATAATTTAGAAATATTGTAACCACATATATTAAATCAAAATTGTCCAGTAAAATCCAAACTCGTACATGATCTACAAAAAAGCATCCTAAATGTAGTAACAAATAAAACAAAGACACCACATTTACATGTTCTTCTTTGCATATTTTCTACAATGTACTTCTCATTCCGAGTACTGAAAACGGCACTTTGAGCTTGATATCCGATCCTTTGAAGGTTTCCAATGACCTTTACTAAGTTGGTTTATAATTGATTTTGGTCATATATTATAACTAAAAATTATGTAAGCGATCATGTAAATTGAAAAGGTGTGTGTGTTAATATTAATTTATTAGTTAAATATGGATAGTTATTCAATCATTAAACGTTATTTTAATCTTTTGAAGCTAGAAAATAGATGAACACACTATTGAAACTTTTATTTTATTGATAGTAAATGCAACCTTTTCATGTTAATGTTTCACAGGGGACTCATCATATGCATATATAAGGTTACAATTAGGAAGTTGCCTCTAATTCAGGGGCACATTAGTCTTAAGATATAGCTTCCATTGTATCTTTTTCTTCTGATGGTGATGATGATGATGATGCTGATGGTGGTGGTTTGAGGTTAGTGGTTTCGTCTTTTGTTTGCTTCTTCAACTTTTTTTGTGTTGAGATGGCGCCATTGATTTCTCACGGCAATGTCAGTTCTTCTATGGAGAAGCTTAGCAATCTTAGTCCACTGATTCCCCAATTCTCTTTGAGCTGAAAGTATCTTTGCGTCTTCTTCATCAGTGAAAGCTGTCTTGTTGATCCTTGGATCTAGCTTATTAAGCCATCTAATTCTACAACCCTTACCTTCCAATACATAATAAGAAGAATATGATTTTAACTTTCGAAAAAAAACAAAGAGTGAGTAGCAAAAATGAAAGCACATTCTTTTACCTGTTCTTCCTTGCATTTTTTCTGCGAGACGGTTCCATCTTCTAGCACCATAAGTAGCCACGAGCTCTGTAAGTTTCAAATCCTCTGAAGGTGTCCAAAACTTCTTCTCCTGCCTCTCATGATGCATCCCTCTCACATTGTTTTCTCCAAAATCATTAGATGAAGGTCTCTACAATGCAACGTCAAAATGGTATTTTGGGGAACATGAGTCTAAAAGTGGGTGATAATTCTATTCATAGTATAAAAATTCATAATTCTAAAAAGGGAACTGTGAGGTGAGGAGAGAAAAGAATATGAGAGGGACTGGAAAGAGAAAAAAAAATACTAGAGTAATTTCAAATGGATATGATATATATGTATCAGAATATTAAAAAAAAAATAAGTTGGAAAAAATTATATGAATATTTTAGTATTATTTTTACTCATATTTTTGTAATTTAATGTTATTATATTTTGCTATTTTTCCATGGATCCGTACATAATCCAGATATAAGAGTAATTATTTCTTGGATCTTAATCCAAATATACTAAAATTTTCAGGTTTCCGATCTCCTTCTGACCCATGTTATATAGTGAAAATGAGCAATATAAAATATTTTAAGATATCAACAAAATATACTTTAAAATATTATAGTGTCGTTTATAAGGACTATGATAAGTATGTTCTAAAATATATTTATTAAAATTAATATGAAAATACGAATATTTTAGTATAATTTGGTAATTTAATGTTATTATTTTTAGCTATTTTCATAGATCCATACATGATCTATATAGTAATGAGCATATAGGGGATCTATATATTGATAATATTTTTTTTTAAAACAAAACATAAAAAAAAATCTATAAAATACAAATATAACGTTTATTATCTATTTTTACGATATTTTATTATTCTGCTAATAGAAAATTGTCAATAGAGAAGAAAAATATTGATGATTTAGTATTTAATAACATGATTACCGATCAAATTAATTAGAAAGATATGATGCATTAATGTATACCTTGAATGCTTCAAAAGTAGACTCCATTGGAGTGACACTTGAATCCCGGTATGATCAAGTTAACTAAAAATGCGGCGCCGCCAAACTTTGAACTAATAGATGAAAAACGACTAATATATATAGTATATCGTGTTCTTAATTCTCTACCTTATGGAGAAAATGTTTTTATTTAATCATCTACCATATACATTAATAGTGATAAATGCTTTAATAGTTTTGACTACATTGTTAGGTATCTATATTAACTCTCTAAAATAATTTGTAAGTGATGAACTTTCAACATTATTTTTGACTCATTTTTTGGTAGTTTTGTAAAGACGGGTTGTTGAAGATTGAATTGAAAAAAGATTTGTTTGACTATAGTATCAGTTTAAGTTATATTATTTAATTCTAAGTTGTTTTCAGGTTTAGAAGAAAAATTATACAGTTTATTATAAGACTTAAAAATTAAAAATAATGGTCTTAATTTGTTTTAGATCATGAAAATGGTAGATTTAATTAAAATTATATCTATATATTAGAAGTCTATTTGTACATACAAAACACATAATTTCCTATAAAAATTATAACTTTATTTTTTAATTTATGAATTTGTTCAATATAGAATTTCATTGTTAAGAAAAAAGTCGATTATCATTTGTATCAATAAATTATAAAATAATTGTAACACAATAACATAAACTCGTACATGATCTACAAAAATAGCATCGTACAAAGAAATATCATCAGTAGCACTGTGAGTTAAACTTCTGAAAAATATTTTAAAAATAAATTTCCTAGCAAAATATGTTAAATTAATAAGGTCCAGTAACCCAAACTTGTACATGATCTACAAAAATAGATTTATAAAAACAAAACCTAGTACTATGAGTTAATCTTTGAAAATTAGGTTTAAGAAGACATGATAACATGATGACAAAATACTTAGCAGTTTATTATAGGTTTAAGTTAAACAATCTACTAGCATTATGTGTTGTAGCGTAGAAAGATCGAATCTATTCTACTTTTATGTGTAATATTTTAGATTCATTGAAAGATTTTCTTTAACCTATATAAAGTAAACTCTTTTTTTTTTTTTTTTCCTCATATAAAGTAAACTCTTAAAATGAAAAAAATCGTGGAGTCTCTTTTGTCCTAATGGTTAATGGTTTTAAAACTTTTACACTACGTCTAAGGTTTGATCCTCAAAGAATGCAATTCTTATAGATTATTAATGCTAATTTAATCGAAGTTCCAAACTAGTATATATATAAATAAAAAAAAAATATATATATATATAATTGTATGTTGGAAAAAGACAATGTTCATCGGAAGTTGTATATGTAGAACCGTCAATTGTGTATCCAAGTGTTGCGGGAATACTGCATCTTAAAATCGTTGTTCGTAAAAACTGTTTATCGTAATCATATATAATGCATGTAATCTATAATTTTCATATGATTTAATTAAATCAAATATATCTAATTATGATATATTAGATGGCGGAAAAAAAGTTAAGAAAATCCATATATATATATATAACAAATCTAGTGTCACATCTTAACCTGATGACATGCCGTGTCTTAGTGAAGAAAAAATAAACATTTGCTTAGGGCATCAAAATTTGGAGAAAAAGTTAAGGGAACAGCTTCGAATTTTCACTTAAGGACACTTCCGTAAATATTGGGCTTCAACAATTCTTCGATTTGGCTAAATGAGCTTAATTAATTAATTAAAACAAACAAACGATTACTTAAAATAATTAAGGTGTTGACGGTTTCAGTTCGGTTGCATCTGTTGAAATAAGTTTTTCAAATTGTATCTTCGCTCGAATATGTCACAAAGAAAGATTGAGTGGCATGGCTATCTTATCCATCAAGAGATAATTGATTAGAAACGTTGACTTTGAAAGTTCAGTTTACCATTTTGTGGAGAAAATAAAAGAAAAATGTTTTAGAGCTAATCTTTTGTTTGTCAGTTTAGTTCTTTTATTTGTTTTTGTTTTATGACGATGATGTTTATTTATGTAGATGATTTTTTCAATTGAACCGGGATATTTTGTTTAGTCGCTTCTGATATCACTTAGTGTTGGCACGGCTCTACGTGATGACATAACATTTATGTATTTATCAAAAAATCTATATGCTTCTTTCTTCTTAAGTTGTAATCTGATCCGGTTACACTTCACAGCGTTGTATTTTTCACTTTGAATCATCATTCGTTCTTACTAACTTATATCATTTCGTATTTTTGAAATGTGGGTTTACAAAGATTAATTAGAAATCTCAGTTATGTATTAGTTTTTTGTCCTAACATTAGTCGTCTAATAGCTAAGCATTTACATACTCGCCAAAAAAAAGTTAGAGATTTTTTGAACAAAAGAGCATATTGCCTTGATTTAAAAGATCGAGAAACAAGTCGAGAGATCTCATTTATATATATACCGTATACGGATCTTTAAACTATTAACTAATTTTATACTGTATTTGGGTGTATATCTAAATAATTTGTTTACTAAAAGATGAAGCATAAAATTTGGATATCTATACGTTTTGAATTATTGATTAATTCTATTTTTTATCTGGGTGTGTATTTATTGTGTTACTTAACAATGATATATAAAATTGCATACATATATTTTTATTTTTCATAGAAAAATATTTACTTCATAACCAAAAAAATTCAGAATATATTGATAAAATCTAAAAGGTAAACATCCATATATTATATGTACACATTTCACGTATATGTTCTTTAGTTTTGTGTATATTTAAGAAAGTCAGTTATTGATTTATTTCTACTTCTCTATATATAAATTGTTGACTAATTCTATACTTTATGATCCATGACCACCATGTTTAAAAGATGAAGTATAAAATTTGAATATCTCTATGTTTTTAAAATTAATTCTATAGTTGGAAAAAATAATTAATTCTATATTTATTTGAATACCTATATTTTTCATTTCTAAAAAAATAATTGCTTTTAATATGGAATTGCAAATCTAGATATTAAGTTTATGTAGTTATTTACTATACATTTTCTTCGTTTAGTGTTTTAATATTTGTTCCATACAAATTAGGCATGGGCAAAAAATCCGGACCCGATACCCGGACCGAAAAAATCGGGTTGGGCGGGTTAGGGTATTAAAAAATTATCTCATTGGGTAGAATATTGAATTACCCGTGGGTATCGGGTCAGGTCGGGGATTACCCGTTACCCATTTAGGGTACCCACAAACCCGAAGAAATACATATGTTTATATATGTATATAGATAATTAGATATATAGTCTTATATAGTTATATACTTATATGTATGTCATAGGTTTTAGGTTTTGTGACTTTTGACGTTTGAGTTTATATATGTATATAGATAATTAGATATATAGGCTTATATAGTTATATACTTATATATATACTTATATATATGCAATACACATATGTTTATATATGTATATAGATAATTAGAATCTACTCTTAACACTTAAGAGTGAAATAGTCATCTTTGTTATTTTGGATTGGATTTAGTATTTAAATGTCATGTTTGATGTTCTATTCTCTTTATTTGATCATTTGAGTATGTAAAGTGATTTTAAACTTCGGGTATTACCCAAACCGATCCGAACCCGACAATACCCGAACCGGACCGGAACCGAAACCATAGGAATACCCGAATGGACTATAAATTCATTACCCATTCAACCCGAACCCGAAGGAGTTTTATCCGAACCCGAACGGGTTACCCATCTGCCCAGGCCTAATACAAATAGTCAAAGACTTGTATCATTCGAATCATTTCTACCAAAATACTTGATGCCAGATTAGATTTTTAGATGTATTGTCTAAAATTAATTTCCTACCAAACTTACTAGATAATAAATATTTGGTCAAATTTCAAGAATTCATTTATAGTCAAAAATTTAAAAAGAATAAATTGGTTCAACGTATATATGTCCTATTTATTTTGGGTAGGAGTTCATTACCTCTCAACAAAAGTCATTAACAGAAAACATTAAAAGTAACACGTTATACAAACATACAAATACGCAAGAACCATAATACAAATTCGGATCATTTTTCTACCAAATTTACATGATGCCAAATTAGATTTTAGGTATAGTCATGCCGCTTTTAATAGATTTTGGTAATAAATCTCTAGTCAAATTTTCAAAAGTTCATTTCTAGTTAAAAAAAATCAAGATAAATAAGTTGGGTTAGTACATATCCGTTATATTTTCGTTAGGAATTTATATTACGAATTACATATATAAAGACCTATTAGTTCTCAACTAAATTCATTAACACAAAACATAAGAAAATAACACGTTATAAAAACAAAATAATACTTCAGAAACAAAGAAAAATAGAAAAAAACATGAACAAGATCAAATCTTTAGTTGTTGTTACTACCATTACAATAATTTTGTTGTTGGTTATTACAGGTTAAACAAGCTTTCTCAATTTCACTTTTTTTCAAGTTTTCTAAACACTTCTAAGCTATGTTATATATTATTTCATTTTCCACATTATATTTCTCTCTAACTAATTTTTCTTATTTTGCATAACAAGCAAGTGCAATTAATCAAGATCTTTTCTGTAATGGTCCGTGCATTGACACTGTCAAATGTGAGCAGTTGTGCAAGCCACAAGGTTACAGTACCTGGTTATGTCAATCTTTTGGAACCAAGAAGTTTTGTTGCTGCGTTCCAACAAAGAAGCAAATCTTTGAAGAAACTGTTCAATTGAATTATATATTAAAGTGATTTATACAGTTTAATTTGTATGATCATTAAATAAGCATTTCAAATGTAAGAAATTTTTTTTTTTGAATTGTAAATGTAAGAAATTATTTTCAAAATGTTATAAGATACTATTTTTCTTGTTTCACCAAATACGCTATGTTACAAATCTGTCTCATAATGTTTACTCTTGGTGCTCTTACTCATTTGAGAAGAACCCATTACATTGTAATATCAGATTTTAATCTAGATTACATTGTAATCTAGAATAACATAAAAGGGCAATTCTTTATTAACACAATGATTATGATTCATGGTAGACTGTTTCATTTGCATCATGTTCATGATGAACAGTTTCACCCTTAACACATGGGACCCCAGATCTCAAATTCCGTCTATGGTCTATACGTAATAGTATGCTAAAGACTTGGCATGTTAAACTCAGTATCACTTTTAAGTTTATCGTAGCATCTTGCGTTTGAATAATGTTGTGATCTCGGGCATGATTTATATGGTCGTTTTCGTATGAAAAAATTGCCAATGACTTTGAATCTGACTTAAGAGGTATAAGGTCTTAGTTAAGGATCTATGTCTATCTGATTACTATACTACGCTAAATATCTCATGGAATAATTTGGAAAGTATAAATGAACTTGATGATCCATGTATCGTAAAGCTGCTCGTCTACAATTGAAGGTAGAATAATACATATAAAATATCTATCTTTAAATAGTGAACTGATTTATAGCTTTTTAGTTAGAATAATACATGAGTATAATATATTTATCTTTCTTAGTTCTTACAAGTTCAGTTTTATAGTGAAGCTCAGTGATTTACCATAGACCTATATTTTTAATCTTCTAACCTGGAAATTCGGAAAATAAAGATTGAGTTTTATTTGCTTGTAAAAATACAATCTTATGTTGATGTTTTACAGATTCCACATCATATGTAATAAGGTTACAATCAAGAAGTTCTATATTAGTTTCTTCTTTTTCTTTTAAGAATCTCCTACCCCAAGAAAATCTATATACTTCACGAGCACATTGGCCTTTGCCTCTTCGGATTTTGATGGTAATGATGATGACGATGATGGTTGAGAGATGGAGACATGCGGTGTGAAGGCATCTTTGGGTTTTGATGGTAATGATGATGATGATGGTTGAGAGATGGAGGCATGCGGTGTGAAGGCATCTTCGGGTTTTGATGGTAATGATGATGATGATGGTTGAGAGATGGAGACATGTGGTGTGGACATTGGCAAGTAACCTGTAGGGATGTTATAAAAGTGACGCTGATGAGCTAAGTATTGCCTGGTTTCTTTGAGATACTTATTAGCTTCGAGGTGAGTGGTTTCCTCTTGTGGCATCTTTCTACTTTCATCACGTAAAAACCCTAAAACAGAATCTATAAGGTCGTTAGTTTAAAGATACACAAACAAAGAAAAATATTGAATGTTAATTTCTCTCACCTTCTCTTTTGTCATTGGCAATTAGCTCATGAATAGAAGTTGATGTCTTCTTCAATTTTTTCATGACCTTGCGCCATAGTTTCTGCATTTGTCTGTCTGTTCTTCCACGAAAAAGCCTAGCAATCCTAGACCATTGGCAACCCCATTCATTGTAAGCTTTGATTAGCAATTTTTCTTCCTCGTCACTAAAAGCATCATTCCTAATCCTTGGATCCAAATGGTTAAACCACCTTGATCTACAAGTCTTACCTTCAACGCACAAAAACGAAAAAAAAAAAGATTCAACTTTCGGAAAGAAAAAAAAAAAAAAAACCACAAGCAAAACAAAAGCACATTTATAACCTGTTCTTCCTTGCATTTGCTTTCCAATTTGCGTCCATTTTCGAGGACCAGACACAGCCACAAGCTCTTTTAGTTTCAAATCCTCTGAAAGTGTCCAACGTCTGCTCAATAGTGAATTGATTTCTTCTTGAACCTCATTTGATGGTCTCTACAAAATGTGAAGTATCAAAATCTCAAATCCATATACATAAAAACAACATATATTTGTTGGTGTGTGATATTCGGGTGATGGTTAATTTCTTCTAAAAAAGGAAATCCTAGGAGAATGAATTTAACAAAAAAGTACACATATCTTTTTAGGTTTATAGTAAGTCAAAGATATTGATATCATACATAATGCTTGTAAAAAAAAATACTAGGGATCTAATTTCCAGTCGAAGATTTATTTTGATCTGCTCTAAAAAAATAAGTATGTGTATTCTTGGATGCGGATCAAAGTATTTTAATTTAAAGACCCAGATATGTGGATCCATCCAAATTTAACTTTTTATATAAAAAATACCTCAAAATATCAATTCAAAAAAATATTTTTAAAATTGATTTATTTATTAGAATAACTATGATAAATTTGTTCTAAAATATTTATGAACATCATTTTGAAAAAATAAATTATAATTTATTTTTATATTATTATTTTAAGTTATTTTTCATGGATGCAGCGTACACATTTTTTATGGATAGTTGTTTTCTGGATATAGATCTAGATATCCTAAAAATAAATTGAGTCCATTTCGTTATAGTTCAAAAGAGATCATATTAACAAAAGTTGTAAAAGTATATTAAAAATAAATCACAAATCTATATTATAATTATTTTAATTAGATTAAAGCACTATAAAACAAAACAAATAAATGTATGCATAAATATTTACCTATACAATTTACCTATATAATTAGATTAGGGTTTTTATACCTTAAAAGCAACCAATGCAGACTCCATTGTATTGACACTCAAATCCCGGTTTTAGTAAGTTAACTAGAAAATGCGGTGCCACAAATCTTATACAATAACTGATGAAAACGACTAACATATATATAGTTTTCATTTAACCTTCTACCATACAATAATAGTGATAAATGCTTTAAAAATTTTGACTGTAATAATAGGTATGTATTTTAACTCTCTACCATAACATGTTAGTGATAAAGGTTCAATATTATTTTGACTCATTTTTTTGGTAAAATGTTAAAGAGGAGGTGTTGAAAAATATATTTGTTTGACTATGGTTTCAATTTAAGTTAATATACTTAATTTTAAGTTGTTTTCAAGTTTATATTAAAATTATACAATTTATTACAGAATTTGAAAATTGAAAATGATTTAGATCATGAAACGGTATTTTCAGAATTAAACTTGTATCTATATAATGAAATTATATTTTGTACATATAAACAAGATTTCCTATAAAATATAATTTTTTTTCATATTTATGAATTTATTATAGATATAGAATTTCAGTGTTAAGAAAAAAAGTCAATCGTCATTTGTATCAGTAATTTTGTTTTTTTTTTTCAAAATTCATAATCAATATGTTAAATTAAATGAAATGATTAGGTCTGGGCATAATACCCGAACCCGAAGAACCGAACCGAACCCGACCTGAAAAATCTGACCCAAACCCGAACCCGAAGTTTTAAAATACCCGAACGGGTTCTAAACTTCACAACCCGAACACCCGAACCCGAACCCGACCCGAACCCCAACCAGAACAAGTACCCGAACATACCCAAAATATAAGTACATAGTTATAATATATTAGTAATATTTATATTTGTAATAACCTAAGTGCCTAAATTATTCAGATGTTAAGATATTTTCGGGTGTTTTAGCTACTTTGGGCTAGATTCGGGTATAAAATACTTGAGATTTATAGATTTTTTGAGTATTTTTCAATACTTTGCATAGAATCGGATACAAAATTTCTAATATTTGGATACTTCGGATAAACCCGAATCCGAACCCGAAATATCCGATCCAAACCCGACCCGAACCCGAAGTTGCAAAATACCCGAACGGGTCTTAGTTTTCTAAATCCGAAAAACCCGATCCGAACCCGACCCGAATATCCTAACGTCCAGGCCTAGATATGATTTAGGAAAGATGGCAGGTTAAATAGAACGTGTTAAGATCATACGGTGAGATAGTTTAAATAAGTTTTGATACCTATAAATGTTTGCAAATTCGATTATAAAACTTTATCATTTGTCCCATATATTTATAACTATTGCATAACGACATAAATTCAATTGTAACCATTATTTGCAATTGTATAATCAACTTATAACTATTAAAAAAATAAAACTTATCAAAACTTAAAAACAAAATTAAAAATTATAAAGTCCTCTATTAAGATAGATTAACAAAAGAGAAATTGTTAAAAATGCCCCTTTTTCAATACCCCTTTTCAAAAATGCCCCCTTTGATAGTCCATTTTTAAGTTTACCCTCTTTTAAATTTTAATGACATTTTACCGTTATTTGAAAGAAAATTAGGTCCACAAAATACAAAATATTTTTTGGCGGGAAAAGTGATCCCGCAATTTTCCCGCCAAAACACTTGTAAAAACCTTTAAAATACCTTGTAAAATTTTTCCGCCAAAAATTTTTTTTTGCGGGAAAAGTGATTCCGCAATTTTTTTGGCGAAATTTTTTTGGCGGGAAAAATTTACAAGGTATTTTAAAGGTTTTACGGAGTATTTACAAGTGTTTTGTAAAGTTTTACAATGTATTTTAAAAGGTTTTACAAGGTACTTATAAGGTTTTATAAAGTATTTATAACTTGTAAATACCTTATAAAAAACTTGTAAAACCTTATAACTTGTAAAACCTTATAAAATAGCTTGTAAAATCTTATAATATCTTATAAATACCTTATAAATACGTTGTAAAACCTTTTAAAATACATTGTAAAACCTTATAAATACCCTGTAAAAAACCTTTAAAATACCTTGTAAATTTTTCCCGCCAAAAATTTAACGCCAAAAAAATTGCGGAATCACTTTTCCCGGAAACAAAATTTTACAAGGTATTTTAAAGGTTTTACAAGTTTTTACAAGTGTTTTGGCGGGAAATATTGCGGGATCACTTTTCCCGCCAAAAAATATTTTGTATTTTGTGGACCTAATTTTGTTATATTTCCTTATATATTTGTGATATCTTTTATTAAAAGAAGGGTAATTTAGTCATTTTGTACATAAAAAGGGGTATTTTAAAAAATAGACAGCCAAAGAGGGCATTTTTGAAAAGGGGTATTGAAAAATGGGCATTTTTGTGAGTCTCCCTTAACAAAATCAAGTACAATTCAACAAAAAGTAATATAACTAAAATGAATATTTAACAAAAATAAGACATAATATTTTTCTATTAAAATAACATCCCCTACCGTATTTTTAAAATATAAAGTTACAATATGGAATTTAAAAGGGATCATAATCTAGTATATTATATATTTATTAGAATAAACATATTTATAGAATTGATTTATTTATTAAAATAAAAATATTTATAGAATTGATTTATTTATTAAAATAAAAATATTTTGAAAATTGATTTATTTATTAGAATGACTATGATAAATCTGTTCTAAAGGTTTATGAAAATCATTTTGAAAAAACATATATTAAAAATTCTATAATTTAATTTTATATTATTATTATATAAAGCTATTTTTTCATAGATGAGCAAACAAATTTTTTATATGGACAGTTGTTTTTTGGATATAGATCCAAATATCAGAAAATAAATTGAGTCCATTTCATTATAGAGCAAAAGAAATCATATTAACAAAAGTAGTAAAGCACTATAAAACAAAACAAATTAATGTATGCATAACAATTTACCTATATAATTAGATTAGGGTTTTTATACCTTAAAAGCAACCAATGCAGAGTCCATTGTATTGACACTCAAATCCCGGTTTTAAGTTGCATCTTCTTACAAGTTACATTAATCGGTGCCATAGGACGGACCATAATCTAGTATATAAGGGTGTCAAAATGGGACAAGATTCATGGGTCAATCCAACTCAACTCAAGCCATGAACCATAATGAGTTGAAAATTTTGACTCAAATGAGTTGATGGATCAAATGAGTTATTGAGTCAAATGGGTTGATGGATCAAATGAGTTGGGTTGAAATGGGTCAATGGTTTTAATGGTTTACCCATTTAACACATCAATTTTTGTTAAATTGAATCAAACCAATTCAAATCTCTAAACCGATTTCAATTTGAGTCTAACCAAAAATTCTAAACCGATTGAATAGTCTTTAATTTTCCCGCCAAAAATATGAATACACAATTTTCCCACAAAATATAAATTCGTGATTTTCTCGCCAAAAAAGTAAATCCGCAGTTTTCTCGCCAAAAACGTAAATCCGTGATTTTCCCGCCAAAAAATTTTATACTTTTTGACCAAAAACGAAAATATGTAATTTTCCCGCCAAAAAAGTAAATCCATGATTTTCCCGCCAAAAACGTAAATCTGTGATTTTCCCGCCAAAATTTTTTATAATTTTTAACCAAAAATGAGAATATAAAATTTTCCCGCCAAAAACGTAAATCCGTGATTTTCCCGCCAAAATTTTTTATAATTTTTAACCAAAAATGAGAATATAAAATTTTTCCGCCAAAAACGTAAATCCGTGATTTCCCGCCAAATTTTTTTATAATTTTTAACCAAAAACGAGAATGTATAATTTTTCCGCCAAAAACGTAAATCCGTAATTTTTCCGCCAAAAACGTAAATCCGTGTTTTAGTTCAATTTTATATATTATATATTTTAGTTCAATTTTGTGTGATGAACTTAAAAAGACAAACTAAAAAGTAAGAAGATGCAACTTAAAAAACAGAGTACAAAAATTTCACAAAGGGAACATTCTATGAGAATGTGACAAGTACAACAATACCTTAAGGCAAGTTGTGTGGTAGCAACACGACATATACTTCTCACAGCCATAGCCTAATTGTTCACTTATAATCTTGACTAAGTAAAAGAGGGATGCTATAAGATCCTAAATCACATCTAATCCCAATAATCAAGGCTGCTACATTCAATCTCTTTGATGTCGTTCTCTAGATATTCAGATCACTTGCACTGTTTTGATCGGAAATTCTCAGTGGATAATAACGAAGTTACCAGATTTTCGAGCCGTCTAGCGCCTGGACCAGGCCTGATAACATCAGTCTCACCAATAACAGCACAAGGATCACTCCCATTCTCATAGCTTCCAATGCACCAACCACCAGGTGTAGCCATCCCAGGACCTCTGTTAAGGAGGTCATCATCTATCTTATCAAGGACAGGATCTTCTCTTCTGAATTTTCTTGCAAACGGGGCATTGCTGTCTATCATTTTAGTCATGTCTGCATGAGTGAGATGGTGTGGATGCTGCTTAGGCGGATTGTCCCACGATATGAAGTGCAGGTCGCTATTTACTGTTGTGTTTCTGAATTCCTCAGCGTTGCAGAGAACAGTGTGAAAATATCCTTCTGGAGAAGAGAGAAAATTCGAGTAATACATTAAGACTGTACGAGGTAGATTATCCCAACCCCAAATACAGTAGTCGATGAATGGCCGAGATAACGCCATCCAAGCAGAGCCTGTTTCCAAGAATCACATGTAAGTTAAAGAGAATCTGAAATCGAAACAATGGCTAACAGATTCTGACAACAATCAAAAGCAACACGCAATAATAGTATTATGATTCATGAGCAGAGCTCAGCAAAGGTTCTGAATAAGATGAAAGTTTATCCTAGCAACCTAAGCATATTGATTCCACGTTGTTCAACCAATGAGAAATGGAGCAAATCTGAGAAGCACCGACCGAACTAAACATGTAAATCAAATCAAATCAAGTCTGTGAATTGCTCAGAGATTATAAAGATTTGCCTAGCAATCTAAGTATGATGAGTCAGTGTTTCATCCAACTATATATGAATCAAATCATAGCAAATATTACTCCAAAAACTAAAGAGCTACGCAACACAAAGAGGTTCAATCAAGTCTAAGGACTTGCTCAGATATGATTATAGTCTAACAAACTGAGTAGGTTTTAGAGGGATCAAGCACCTGTGAAAAGCTTGAATGCTGTAGGGATGCTTCGCCTTTGCGTAACCCAAAAAACATCAGATTTCTTGTTCAAATACAGTCCAGGATCTATAATTACCGGTTTTGCTCTTTGTGATCTGAAAAAAAACAAAGTCTGAGTTCCTTCTACTATACGAAAACAAAAGATACAGAAAACAAAAACTCTAAAACATTTCTTACGCTTTCCATCCAATGTTACTAGTATGATCAATGAAGTTCAAATCCCTCGGCAAATGCGAAAAGATATGCAACAAATCTGATACACAAAACCAACAAAAAGGTCAAATCTTTAATGAAGAAATAATAATTCATAACTAAAAGTTTCAATCTTTATCAAACAATTCCTCAGAAACCTCACCATCTTGAGTCACCAAAGGATAATCTGAAGAGCTAAGATTAATAAACCAATCCCAATCAGCTCCTTCTCTAAGCAAAATCGCCGCGGCGTGAAGTGTATTCGCAACCATGGTAGGTCCACGATACGTAACAAGATTAGCTTTCTCAATCATATGAACATTCATAAACCTTCGAAACAAAGACGAGTTTTTGATATATCCATGAAGCTCCTCTCTCTCTTCCTTGGAAGATTCTCTATCTAAATGAACAACATACCGATTATTCGGATGATAAAGAGCCAAAAGAGTTCGCCGGAGAGATTTCCCGTCACCGGCGGATCCAGAAATCAAGTAAGCAAAACGCGGTGGCGATGGGAGTGATGAGATTGGTTGAGGTTTGATCTTGGATTCAACGAAAGCTGATGAACCAGATCCGGTTAACAAAACGGGTCGGGTAAAAGGGAGAAATCGGATTCCGGTTGGTGAAGTTAGGGTTGTTGTGAGGAAGAGTAAGAACAAAGCGAAGATTGAACCAATCAAAAGAGGGAATATAATCCATTTCCTCTCTGAAGAAACAACATTGTTATGATGATGATGATGATGATGATTCTGATGATGTCTCACATTTGAGTAATAGCTTCTCAATTTCTTCATCGAATCTCAAAAAAAATGGTCAATTCAAAGTTTGACACATTTTTCTTCACTGTTTTTTGTCAATACGTTACAAAAGAAGAAAACACATTTTTAAAAACTGAAACTTTTGGAAGAAATTTGAGATTTTTGCGATTAGGGTTTTTGTTTCTTGATCAATGAGATTGAAGAAATAACGTTAGTAAAAGAGAAGAGATTGAAGAAGGAACTGAAGAAACAGATATGGAAATAACGAAAAGAGAAAGATTATTATTGGTCAAGAGCATTAAAATCAGATCAGATCTTAGTAGGTATGAAATTAAAAAAAAAAAAAAAAAAAAAAAAAATTCTGGAATCGATGTGATGGGCCACTAAAAAGCCCATAAACTTGGAACATATAAGTCAACGAAGGACTTTATTCATTAGACACAATCACACAAATAGATAAAGTAACCAGTGTCTAACTAATTTAGAGAGTGTTGTTCATTTTAGGCTTGTCCATTTCAGACAATTTGATATTGGGTTGCAAAACGTACATTCTGTTATTTTAAAATTATTATCTGAATTTCTATTAGAGTAAATGTTGGTTTCAGATTTAGGCTTATTTTAAAATAGCATTATTTTGAATGTTTTGCAAACATACACAATAATATCAGTTATCACAAATCCCCAAATTATGCACTACACTTGTTATTTTAATGAGAGAGTGTGAACATAAAATGTTTACTCAAGCACATGAAGAATTATATGACATTATTCATCCAGAAAACGGCTTTAAGATTCCTCGTTCTCTCATTCGATTCATGACTCTTGAAGCATCGTTTAGTTTATCTGCTCTCTCATACAAAGCCGCCACAACCAAATGCAACTCCTTGCTATTGACATTAGGATCAGATTCCAATCTCTCAAACAACGATTCAACCATCTCAAAATCTTTCTTCGATGAGTATAAACTCAGCATTTGGAAATGAACTTCATCAGGGAAAACACATCCTTCCTCTTGCATTTCTCTGTAAACCGTATCTGCTTTTTCAAACTCTCTTTGTTTCCCATACGCGTTCAACACCATAGCTATCGCATTCGAATCCGGAAAGTAACCAGCGGTTCTCATTTTCTCAAACACTTCGATGACATTTACGTACCTTTGGTTTCTTGAGTAAAGATTGATCATACAGCCAAATACTGATATGTCTTTTACCTCTCCGGATTCAAAAGCTTGACGAAAAACCCATGTCGCCTCTTCAGTACTCCCGGCTTTAGCCAGAATGGTGATAGCGGTTTCCCGAGGGATATTATCCGGGAGCTTTAACTCATGAAGCAGACGTTTAGCATGACCCATTAGACCAACTCTTTCATATGCCACAATCATGGTTTGATACAGGACTTGATCGATTTCCACACCCGAGCTCCTAAGCTTCTGAAACAGTGTCGCAGCTCGGTCCAATTTCCCAGCTTTCCCCCATATTGATATAATAGTTGAGTAGGTTATGGCGTTAGGTTCAATTCCTCGGCTCTGCATCTCTTGAACAAGATTCGTAGCCTTTTCGTGCTCCATAGTTTTCCCATAGATCTTAATCATCGTATTGTAAGTAACAACGTTCTGTTCAATGTCTTTCCTCTGCATCAACCTGAAAAGATGAATTGCTTCACCGAAAAGCTCAGCCTCGCCGTAAACACGAAGGATAGTATTGTAGCTAACAACATTAGGTTCGATATCCATTTTCCTCAAACTCCAAAACAACCTATCAGCTTCTTTAACCATGTCAAGCTGACCATAAACATCGATCATTATATTGCAAGTAGTGAGATCCAACGGACAATTCACCTCTTTCATCTCTGCGAAAACCGATAAAGCTTCTAGAAACTTATGGTTCTCTACATAAACACTCAAAAGAGTGGAGTAACTAACTGTGTTTGGTGAGACACCAGCTTCATTCATCTCCTTTATAAGCACTCGCGCCTCTTTGAACAATTTGGCCTTCCCATAAACATTAATCATCGAATTATACGCAACAAGATCAGGCGTAATACCAGACCTCTTCAACCTCGAGAAAATCGAAATAGCCTTTGAGTAATCACACAGCCTCCTAGAAAGCTCAATGAGGTTGCTATACAAAACAAGGTCACCAGAAACACGGTCTTGCTCCATCTTTTGAAGCCAAGACAAAGCCGAATCAAACATACCCTCTTTCCCAAACGAAGTAATTAGCGTCGAATAAGTATACCTATCAGGCGCAAGAGCTCTCTGACGCATTTCGTCGAACAGTCCGTGTGCAATACCAAATTGCTTAGCTCTCAACACATTTCGAAGAACTACATTGTAGGCGAACACAGAAGGTGTGTATTTAGCTTCTTCATGAACCCAATCGAGCAATGCTAATGATCTCTGCCAATCATTTTCTCGAGAAAGAAGCGAAACCATGAACCGTATAGACAATTGTCTGTCTTTGTAAGTTGAAAGCAAAGAAAAAAGCTCTTTTTCGTTCTGGGTCTGGTGAATTGAAGCTAAAAGCTCGTCCATGTCGACGTTGTGATCGAGAAAAGCAGATCTTTGATACCTCCGATGTTTCCTTAACGCCTGAAACGACGACGTCGTATTCTTCTCCGGTTGTTTTCTCCATACCTTTTTGGTTTGTGTGGATGGTGATGATGATGAAGAAGAAGCAGAGACTTTGAAGATGAGATTGCGTTGTCTAGCTTCAGGAATGGTGGAGAAGGGTATGCAAGTGTAAATATGAGGTCTGATTAAGGGTAAAAATGGAAGAGAAAGAGAAGAAGATGAAGCAATGTCTATATACATCTTACAAAAGGATTTTACAATTCTTCAAAAAGAAGAGACATTATATATTATATAGTTCTAAATAAACGACACCGTTTAGTTTTCGTTTTTTTCCGGCAACGACCGTACTGTTGACAACATTGACTTTTGAGTTTTGAGACTAATTAATTAAACATGTAGATTTGATTATGAAGAAGACAAAGAGCATTGGATTTAGGGTCCGAATGGTAACTGCGTTTTGCGGTACGGGAGAAGTGCGGTATTATAGTGCGGTACGGTTCAACTGTGGGACGTGCGGTATGCGGAATAAATGCGGTTTTTAGAAATAAGCGGTATAGCATAATGTTTGATTGGTAAAAAAAAACGCGGTGCGGAATACAGATTATAGTTAAATAATTTTTAAAAGTATATTAATGATATTAATATAATTATAAATTAAACATTTATATATATATATATATATATATATATATATAAATATATTTTCTTTGGTAATTAAACATTTATATATATATATATATATATTAGTATAATCATAAATTAAACATTCACATAAATTAAACATTCAGTTTCTTTTTGGTAGAATAAATTAAAAATTTTTAATCATAAATTTAAAAGCTTTCAATTTAATTTGCTGAAAAAAAAAACACAATTTAATGTGTCTCTTAACATTCTTGATTATCCCTTCTATTTAATGTGTTTAATTAATGAGTTATTTTGTATTAAAATTTTCCTTAATAAGCGTGCTTTTAGCCCAAAAATTCTATATTTTGGAACAGAGGGTGTATTAGAGAAGGAGAATATTTTTTCCTACCAAACAAAAAGAAGGAGAATGACTTTCATAATAATTTTATAACTTAAAAAAAATAATTGTCATAATCACGATGAGAGTGTGTGTTTTATTTTTCATTCGTATTATTGATGTTATACCTTCTGACTTTGACTCACAAGTTAATAAAGTTACCTAAGGCATTTCTCATCAAACACAAAAGCAATGTTTGTGTTAAAAAAAAAAACAAAAAAAAAATGTATTATTTTGTTAGGTGCGGTTTTTGATAAAACCGCTGGGTAAAGCCTTCTTTTTATTTCTAACAGCGGTCCACTGTATTACCCGTTGGACAAAACCGCAAATTCCTCCTTTTTTTTTTTTTTAAAACGCAAATCTGTCAGAAAAAGTGTGATTGGTGAGTACACTGCGTTTTTTTTGGAAAAAATTAGAAAAACGCCTTTTTTGTGTTCACCATTCGGACCCTTAATGAGGCACGAAACTTGAAAGAAAATTCAAACTATGGGATTCTTTTGTATGAATAATGTAAAATTAAAACTCCGTTTATTTGTTCAGTTAGTCAACTTAACGATGTGACTTATTTGGTAAACTCAACAAAAGTTAGCGATTAAAATAGAAAATCAACAAAAAAATTGATGACTAAAATGAAAAATCAATAAAAATTAGCAAATTGTTATAAACCATATGGATAGACTCCATAACCGGCCCATGGCCCATTAGGGTTTTACCTTATTCTCTGTATCCTGCTATTATCTTTGTATATATATCCCTTATACTATTAATGAAAGACACAGTTCACAACACGTTATCAGCACGATAGTCTCTCACCCTGAAAAATTAAAAATCCCGAAACCCTAAATCTCTCTCACAAAACCCAAAACCAAAACCCTAGCCGTCTCTGCAAACAAAATTCTAAACTCTATCGAGATAAGTTTTCTGTTCATATTTGTTTCTGCACGAATTTTGCACGGATTATCTGTTATCAATCCTGTCTACATTTCTGCACGAACTTTGCACAGATGATCTGTTATCTATTATGTCTGTAGTTTTGTACGAATTTTGCACGGATTATATGTTATCAATTTTGTCTGTATTTCTGCACGAATTTTGCACATATTATCTATTGTCAATTCTGTCTGTAGTTTTGCACGGATTATATGTTATCAATTTTGTCTTATTTTCTGCACGAATTTTGCACAGATTATCTGTTGTCAATTATGTTTGTAGATTTGCACAAATTTTGCATGGATTATTTATTATCAATCATGTCTATATTTTTGTACGATTTATGCACGGATTATATGTTATTGATTCTGAACTGTTTTATGCAGTATATTACAGAAACCCTATTTTTTTTTTCTTTTTACTAATGTAATAGCCATGTTTCCATGAGCAAAATTTTGAGTTTCTCAGGAATCAGGATTATATATATTGAGATTTTGTAGGAGGTCCCAACCAGCTAAGAGACATAACTGTTTCCAATCTCCGTATCAGATCTCGGGTCTCTGTTTCAGTTCTCCAATTAAGATAAGTGCTATTTACTTATTTTGCTTTATATACATGATCCAATTAAAGTTTGATAAGATAAAATTTGCATGAAAATTGGCACATATGATTTGATTTATGATTTTTGTTTAGAGAATTACTTGAGAAGTTAGTGAATGGAAAGATGTTTAATGGCATGATAGATTAAATGTTTTAATATAAACCCTAGGTTAAACCGA